TCTTTAGAGTGGAATGCTATCTACAGAAACCAAACACTAACATACTAAAGGATATATCCTTATTTTATAAGCCCCCCTGCCAAACAGAGGGAACTAGAGAAAATAATCAACTCCAAGAGAACAGAGTTGTAGAAACTCTTAATAACTGAACTATTAAAATAGTTACCAGTTGTTGTAATCTATGACTTAACTAACTGAAGGTTTGCCTTCAAGAATATCAGATTATAATGTCAATATCTTTCTCAAGTGCGTGTCAGGGAACCAGCAGTGTGAACTCCAAACTTTGAGTATAAAAAACAAAGGAAAGGGCTTCCCTGGTGGCACAGTGGTTGAGAGTCTGCCTGCCGATGCAGCGGACACAGGTTCGTGACCCGGTCCAGGAAGATTCCACATGCCGCGGAGCAGCTGGGCCCGTGAGCCATGGCCGCTGAGCCTGCGTGTCCGGAGCCTGTGCTCCGCAACGGGAGAGGCCACAACAGTGAGAGGCCCGCATACCGCAAAAAAACCCAAAAAACAAACAAAAAAAACAACAACAAAAAAAAAAAAAAAAGGAAAAATTCACTCAAAACTATTTTAATTGCTAGAACCAGCTTCATTTGTTTCAATCAAATGTCCTACAAAGTAAAAGTAAGCATGCTATATATGTAGCTTTATAATAAATAGTATTTGCCTCCTATTAAAACTCTCAGAGGAAAAGACATTAATTTTTAATGCCTTAAATTTTTCAGAAACAATTATTTCTCATTATAAAATATATCTTAAAAGGCAAATGCATTTATAAAATATCTCACCTTAGGTTTTCAGACAAATCCACAAAGAAATCTCTACAGTATAACTTCCAGTTTAGGCAGATACCTGAATTGAAAAAAAGGAAAAAGACATGGTCAATATGACTAAATCTGAGTAGGGAACTTCATTTTTTCAAGAGGAGAACCCTAACTTGATCGCTTATCCCCTAAAATTTTGTGCTCAAGTTGTTCTTTAGAAGCTTGTAAAATGTCAAGGATCTTAATTCTGCTGGACTTTCTATTGTCTATAATTATTTAAACATTTTGACAAATCTTGAAATACAAAACTTACAAAAACATATACTATATTAACAAGGGTGAGGGGGATCAATTCAAGAAAAATAATTCTTGTTCACCTGCTCAAGTTTTCAAAACAGAAGGCATTTTCTAAAAGTCTGCACTCCCCATAATACCACCACCATGACCTATCCTCACAAAAACGACAGAATTCAAAAATATGGAAATATAAAAGTAAACCAACAGCATGTGTTTATAAAACAAGTAAAAGGGAAGATTAAATAAAACAAATGGCTAATAAGTTATGAAAATTTCACCTACATTGGCAAAGGAAATCAAATTGAGATATCATCTTTCATCAATAAAATTTGAGTTGTTTTTTAAATAAGATGTTAGTTATTAGTGCTGTTCCAGTCCTCCTCCTTCCTAGACTCACAGTAGAACTGCACTTCACTGCCCTGTTTCAACTTAGTTCTGGCTACATGACTTGCTTTAGCCACTAAAATGTACATAGACATGATATATTATTAGGCATAAGCTTTAGGAACCAGTACACAACTGGAAGACCTACCCACTGCTGCAGTGATTATGGAAGGAAGTAACCAGATGGAGCTCTGATGAGGATGGTTCACTAAATGACTCCAAAGAGAGAGAGAAGACCCCCTGCTGATATGTGTTAGACATGTAGCACGAGCAAAAAATAAACATTGTTGTATTAAACCACTGAGATTTTGGGGACTGTTACTGTACCATAATCTACAGCTATACTGATAGCTACAAATTATAATGTAATATAATAACATAATTATAGTAATATAATGATACAATATAATGGGCATCTTTGCACATACCACTATGTGGTAGTGTAAATAGGTAGTCTTTCTGGAAAGCAATTTTGCAATACACAAGAGCTTTAAAAAGTTCAAACCCTTTGACCTAGTAACTTCTCTCTCGGAACTCTGTCCTAAATAATAAAAAATCCAAAGATTTATATCATAGCACATTTATGACTGTAAAGAACTGGAAATAAACTAAAAGTTCATGGCCCAATTCAACATTCATGACACCAACAAGAAGCTTATAATTCAAAAGAAAACATAGTTCAGGTACATACAAAAAAAGTAAAAAATAAATATCCCAAAAGGTGCAACAAACAAAATGTTATAGAAATTCCAAAGAGTAAAGTGTCAAGGGAAATGTTTAGGTAAGGTTTTGGGAAAGGCTTTGATAAGAAAAGGGGCATTCCAGGAAGTAGAAATGGAATGAACAAAGGTACAAAAGGGGCAACTTGTTACAGCAAGGATTCTCACCATCTTTTTGTTTCCCTAGATCTGGCTGTAGCCAAGTGATAGCATACAGAATGTCCTTAATTTCTAAAGTAACTGGGCTACCCACAATATGAAATAAGTAAAAAGAAAAACACAGATGTAATATGCTGGTTAAGGTAATCAGTATTCAAAAAGTAGACAGTCTACACCTTCTTAAGTTTTCCGACAGCCTCTGTGAACAACAACAAAAATACAACATACCTGCAAAACCAAATGTAAATTCTGTGCATTTAAGACTGACTCTGTTATTTTCATAACATTAAGCATACCAAAAGAGCTGAAAGTTTTCACGTTTTTATTATTTTAGCTTCCTTTCTACCGAGTAATTTTATTCTATGGATAGCAAACTTTGCTATTCAGCTCACTCCATACCTAGGGCCTAGTAGATGCTATCTAAATACTTGTTGAATTAATATTGGGATTTAATATACATTTCACAGAAAATACTCCTCATTTCTAATTATTCAGAGTAATGGGAAGTAGAAAGAAAATAAGTAACATTAATTGAAAATGCTGTAAAAAATGAAGCCATAAAAGGACTTAAACCATTATTTCAAAACACTCCTTGAAGCAAATAATCTGTTTACCAGTAACTCAAGCCTTTATTGTAGCCTTTGTTGTTATGCTACACACATACACCATCAAGACAGTCATTTTTACTAAATATAGCTTGAGGAAAAAAATCACATAATTTGATACCCAGAAAAATGTCAGTAGTTCACCTTTGTATTCCACACAACTCCTAGCACATAGTGGGTACTTTCAAATCATTCATTGAGTTGAACAGTCAAAGAGAAAATGTTTATTCTGCTGTCCATATGAGTTCATTATATTTCAAAGGTGTGAGTCATCAACTCTGACAATAAAAGAAAAACTTACACCCCTACAAATCCTTGACATATCTCAAGAGCTCTCAGAAATGAGAAGAGATATCCATAGACATGTTCCCTAAGTTACACAAATGTAAGAAGATACAGCGTTTTCACTGTTGTAGATTTGCTATATTTAGATGGCTCTGAATTGAATTATTCAAGCATATACAAATATAACATTGTAGGGGTCCACATACTTGCTCCTGACAGTCTGGAAACAAAAGCTGCTATTCAGATAAAAGATGATAGGCAACAGGAATCTGACAGGCCAGTAATTTACTTCCTTCTCCACACGTTTGAATTTGTAGGCCTCCACAGTTATTAAGCAAAATTAGTTTCATGATGTCAGCCAAAAAGCCTCATGGGCAACAGTTTTATGTCATTAAAAAAAAAAAACTACCATCCTCAATCTGTTTGAATTTGTGTTTGCTCATTAGAAGCCTCTCAGTGAATCAGCAGAGAAGTTTTTTCATTGCACTCTTGCTCTATCAATCTTTATATAGCCCTGAACTGTAACAAATTCCTATTCTCCCTTCTTTCCCT